TTTTGTTTTGGTCTTGTTTCCCCCCCCCCCCCCCGCCACCGTTCACTTCTCTGGATGTTTTTCTTAACTACTGGTGCATCCCAAATGTCCCTCCAGACCCAGCGGGGGAGATGGCATTACCACATCATTCCCAGCAGCACGCGTGAGCAGAGTGTGCGTTTCTCTTGGGATGTCCTTGACCGCAGCAGTCGTTGTAAAGTCGCAGCACTCAGTTCTGCGCAGGGCTCGCACCTCCCGTTGTGGCCTCGGACAAAACCGCTCCTCAGATTCCTCATCCTTACGACGTACTGTGGTGCCATATTGAGGTCTCTGCTGTTCCTTCAAGAACAGCCCTAGATACTCACTTCTATCGGTGTTAGCAGCGATACCCGTACACAGTCTCACAGCAGCCCCTAATTTTTTTACTAGGTGAGTTGTAGAGTATTGTAATGTTAGAAGGACGGCGGGTTTCATTCTGTGCTAGAAGGTCAAAACTGTCATTCAGATGTACAAAGAGCTTGTCTGCGTAATGTTCAGTCTTGTCTAGCTTTGAGCCTCAGACTATTCCTTTACCCATTCATGGCAGGACACTGATGTAGAAGAAGAATGAAGTAGGTGGAAAATTTTTTCTGAAGGGTTAATCTTACAGTCGGCGGGTGCTCAGCCTCCACAGCTGTCACGGCGTGATGGCCTGTTCACATGTCTCTTGAGTTTCACTTAGGAAGAAAACATCTTTGTGACCAGTAATTACTGTTCTTTTCCCATCTAATGTTAAATGAATTTGAAGCCGTTTTTAAAGATGTTTTTATCTTTCAGATGTGGATTTTCAGTGGCAAAGCACTGAAGTTTCAATGTTGCCTCACACAATCCATAACACGCGTCTTTCTTTTTTTTCATTCTGTTTTGTTTCAGCAACTGAAGCATCTTTTTTTCTCCCTAGCTAAGGAACATGCAATATACAGAAATGTCTTTTAAATTTCCCTTGCAAGTTGGGAGCTGGACCCTAAAATTAGAGCAGATTAGTGTAGAGGAGGCAAATCAAAGTTCATACATTTTGCTTCTGACGTTCCCCAGTTCCAAATGAAATACCTGTTTCTTTGGAATAGATGCTTTCGGCAGTAAAGATCTGCTTCCCCTAACAACAGCCTGCATCACCTGCCTGCTACGGTACGACATAGCTTTAATTTTCCAGTATTGTGCACCTTGAATGTTGAGTGGGTTGGAGTTGGTGCCAGCGGAGATGCTGCGCTTGCAGGCTGCGTGCGTGGCCGTGCTGCGCCATGCCCCAAGTGTCGGGCTGGCGGATGCCTGGGAGGCTGCGAGAGAGAATGTGACGCTGCTGTTTACCTTCTCCTGGAAAATAATTTTAGCCAACGCTGCATTTGCAGGCTTCTCCTGTGTAGTTGGTTTGTGACTGGACTTAACTGTGGCAGTGTATAAAAGATTTTGATATTCTGTGAAATACCATGTAGAATTTAAATTTGATACTATAATAATTCAGTCCCTGTGACACTGGTTTTTTGTTTTAACTTCTTCCTTTGGGGTTGGCACTAATCTTTCTTTTTTCCTCAAGATGCTGTGAGAAACATTTCATCCAAATGCCAAATAAATTGTGTTCTGTAAGAGAAATGGCCTGTTCCAATGTCTCCTGATTTCTGCATCAGTGTGGTTCCTCGGCATTGCAAAGGAAGGTCTTGTTAAATCACGCTTCTGAGCTGTGATCTTGCAGAAAGATCAATAGACGCATTTAACTTCCAGCAGGGAGGCTGCCGAAGTCCCTTTGTGTACAAATTCCAGTGGAATTTACCTATGTTAGTGTAATTTTAAGAAAGTCTTAGCTGAATACCCAAGAAGGTGAAGGGCAGCCTACTCCTGCTGCCCTCTCCAAACCTGTGGGGAAGATGCCAAGCCTCCAGGCAGGAGGTGCAGGTGGTTGTGTTGGATGGGAGGGGTGTTCCGGACCCCCAGCTCCCAGTGTGGGGCAGCAGGGCTCGGGAATGAACCAAGTCGGTCGGAGACTTGATGTGGAGTCGAGGGGGGGGACGGTGTTAGCACTGAGCCATGCTGCCTCCACGCACCCCGCAGGCACCGGGGAGGCTGGTGGAAAAGCCTGACGAGAGGTCCGGCTGTCCTGACCTCTTCAGCTATTCCAAAATTTGAGCTCCAAACTTTTAATCAAATTCCTAAAGGAAGGGTTTGGGTACTGCACCCTTCCCTCAGTTGTGTTCTACACCCCCTGCGTGGTACGGGGGCTGGAGGGAGGACCCTGGGGTGACCTTGGGTGGGCTGGCAGGAGAAGCCTTGGCCGAGGGCCGTGTTTTGGGGCGTGCAGGGGGTTTCCCGTCCGGCGCCGGGACCCGTCTGTCTTGTGGGGAGATGTACAGCAGATGGCGTTTCTGCTCAAACCAACCCCGAGCTGCTTTACATCGCAGGCGATTGCAGTTCCCTTTGGAGCTGCGGGGAAACAAAATGAGCCGGGTGTGCAGTGCGAGAGCAGCTCTCCTGTCCCCCAGTCCCCTCGGCCTGCAGTGATCTGGGAGGTGATGCTGCCTCTCTTCAAAGAGCCTGTAACTCTAAATTATTTAATAAAGCTGGCTGATAGCAGGGATTATTCCCCCAAAAGGCCTTGCTGGATAAAGAAGCTTCTTTAAACAGTTGTGCTGGTTTAGTAATGCAGGCTTGAAGCTGGAGCTGGCAGACTGGTGGGATACGGGATGGAGCAACATCAACTCTGAGTCGAAGAGTCGCATCTCTTCTGTCCCAGCACGGTGTGCCCGGTATTGCTGCTGTGGGGCCCTGCGCCCCGGGGCCAGGCGCTGCTGTGGAAGTTACTTGTCCTGTAGCATGTACTCATAGCAATGCAGCTGGAGACTCCAAAGGTTGGCACGGTCAGTGTGCTGGTCGGAGGATGGGCCCTTTTGGAGTGGGGAAAGCTGTGCTGCTGGCACCTGCCAGCACTCTTCTGGAGCAGTCTGGGCAGCAAGCGCAGTGCCATGGGGCCGTGGGTGGCCTGCGGTACAAGTGCTGCAATCAGATTTTCTGGAGCCATGCAGGGTCAAATCTGCTTTACTTGGGGGAAGTAGTTTAAGAATTAAAATTGATTGATCTTCTGATCCCAGCCTGCCATGAGAGGGGCTGTTTTCAGGCACGGGGAAAGAGCAGCATCTCCTTTTTGCACAGTCGAGACCTGCCCCTGGTGATGCCTGCCCGCGCTCTGGGCTGGGAGCTCAGGTCCTAGAAACATTCGCTGTCTCCTTTTACAAGCTGCTGGGCTCAGTGTTTGCTGTGAGTGCTGCAGAACAAGTCCCCGCAGCGTTGCCGGGCTGTCTCTGTGCCCTGCTCGTGGCCGCAGGATGCGTTCATTGCTGAAAGCCGTCCAGCGTGCGGTGTCATCGTCACCGTGGGTGCCACGGAGGGCTCCGCTCTTCCTTTCCTGCGCCCGCAGAGGGCAGCTGCCGCTGCAGCCACCTCCGTCGCTCCTGGACCTGAACCAGAGCAGCCCCCAGCTTCCAGAGCTTCATCTCCGGGCTGGGAGATGCTGGTTCAGCTGAGGGCGATGGGACGCAGCCCTTCCTTTGCTGCCTGCCTCAGGGAGGACAAGCGTCTGTCTATAGCAGCTGCCTGATGTTGCAAGTGCTCGGGGGGGCTCAGTGTGACAGGGACCCTGTGGGGCTCTGCTGACACTGCAAGACCCTGTGCAGATACAACTTGCCCTTCCCTCCTGCCCTCTCGTCGCCTGGGGACAGGG